ACGCCGTACGTAGACAAGCACAGTTGTCTGTGTGTAGGCTCAGGTTGACGCAATATACGTAGAAAGGTGTAACGTATTGATCTGGCGCCCGCTCAGAAGTTGCCAGCTAGCCCGACCGCGCGTCGCCTTACGTTGGTATTCTGCGTCAGTACGTGTGTCACAAGCACCTGATCATCACATGACGGCGTTCTATAAAGGTGTAGGCCGTTCCGGAACGGTCCGGTTTGGCATATTTCATTCCAAGTAATTTACATGTCCTAAACCGGAGTAGCCTCCGTAGCAGGCTTATAGAACTGGGGGTTTAGTGGTCTTCGGCTGTTTTCTGATTAGCCTAAAAGTTCTAAAAAAACGGGGGTAATTCAACCAGGCCGGCTATGTTGTCTATATGTCTATCAGAAAATAGCACATAAAAGCTCCCAAAGACCATGAAGACCCCCAAAACCCACAGTTTTTGGCATGCTATGGAGGCTAAAACCGGAGTGTAATTCTGCAACCATTGTGACCACGCCCCTTTAGGAAATGATGATTTATCAGAAATTTCTGCCGTGAAAATTGCGGCCACGCCCTTTTATGACGGTACATTGGCAACTTCCAATCTCAGACAAAATTCAATCCATCATTCAAAATCGTTTAAAATGTAAATAACGTTTTCCCCCGTCACTTTACTCAAGAGGATCGATCAAATTACTATCCACGCGCCTGAGATGAATGATTCTGTCATATTGAAAAAAAAAAACATGCAGAAAAAAAAACCTACGCCCTCCAATATAACTAGACAAACCATTTTGCATTCTAGTCTTCCATCTTTCTAGGGTCAACCGCATTTTCACAGATCGATTTGAGCTGAAAGGGCTTAGATATCTATCTTTGAATCAGTTTTCGTTATTTTGCATATGTGCTATAGGCAGGCTTCACCATATATTTTGGTCTAATTACATGGTTTTTCCAATTCCCTGTAGGCTCGAAAATTTCCATTGATGGAAGTAGAAATCAAACCCACGGATTTTCCCAGAGCGGTAGCAACTACTGTAGTAGGAAAGGATTATCCTGGGAGAAAGGGAAAAAAATACACACACTGTGCATAATTTATGTGTAACCCGGGAAAGCGGTTACAATTCATCCAAGCAGAGTTGGCCTGACCTGGAGCGTTTGCGGCCATAAATTTTGCAGCGACGACTCACGTGAAATTACAAATCGCGTTCGATTTTTTTTTCATTCTGTGAATGAGAGATGGGGAACTTGGGACTTCGGATTCATCCGAAGCTGAACCCAACTGGTGATCGCATTTCACAAAAAGCCAATGACTTTACGCATAATATAGCCTCTACCATGTATACCAGGCTCCGCGGATCGCTGGAAAAATAGTAGAAATTGGCCGAAATAAAGGGATAGTATGCCGGAGAAGATCCCGGGCCATAGGAGATACAATTCGCGACCCACTATTCCTTTATTTCGGCCGATTTCTACTATGTTTCCAGCTATCCGCGGAGCCTAGTAGAGGCTAACATAATAAAGACATGGAGAAAAGCGGGTTGGAGTGGGTAATATTTATGTCCCATTTTCGTGTACATTTCTTTTTTTTTTACCCCAACACAAAGTCCGAATCCCTGTGGAAACCATTCGTGACTAATGAATCTGGGTGGTGCATTTGCATAATTTTCTAATAATTGGGCCGCCCTACAGGGTGACTCAACCGCAGTGTGCCCTCCAGGCACATTTGTACCCGCTTAATCATACCGGCTTGCGCACTCTCACCATTCCGATCAAGTCAGCTACAAATGTCACCTCCGCGATTATGTCACTGACTTATAATCTCCAAGCAGATCCCTTTCGGTGGCAAAAAGACAGTATCAAATTGGCCAGGCAGTATCCATTGGCCAGAGAAGGTCGCCGGCCACCGACGTTGGGGGTAGCGACAAAAAAAATCGGCCATATATAAAAAGCTAACGATCATTCCCCCACAACCTCTGCTTGAAGGGTAACGGCTTGCGCACTCTCACCATTCCGAACAGGCCAGCTACAAATGTCACCTCTCGGGCGATTATGTCATTGACTTACTGGACATCACAGGACTGGGACTTTACGTCAATCGACTCCATATCGAGTTCGTTTCACAGACGTACATACCGTAACCCCAATCCTCTGTGTCGCCAGTCCCTTACTTTTATTTTTAGCCATCGATTGCTCCAGTTTTGGATGCCGTTCCCGTGACCGCTCCGGTCGGGCCGTACCAACAACAGACCAGTACGGGTACGGGCCGTTGCGAAGTTTTGGTGGTCCCCTTTTGTTTATTTTGATACAATTCGTTACCTCCGATTGCGACTGGTATGTGCACTAGTGGCCGTATACACACTGGGTGCGCTCTAGGTCGCCAGGTGTCTCTTGGTACCCAATGTTTTGTTCGGATGTAAACACTACTGTAGGGCCGGGCCGGGGCGTCGCCTGGGAAAACCCTCTTTGTGAATGTAAACACGGTGACAACACTGCGTCGAACCACACACAAAGGCGGCTGTGACGTCATTTGACGTACGGCAGGGCGAATCAGAACGCCGCTGGTGTAGCATTTTCGAATGTCGCAAAAGGTTCCTTACATGAAGATCTAGAAAAGCTCATAAGCTAGATACGTTGTTACCAAGGCTTCTGTTGAGTGATACAGACTTAGTTTAAATTTGATGACGGAGTCTTGTTTATAATAAAAGACTCCGTTTGTCGGTTATACAAGAGCAAACATGAACGTTAAACCGTTTTAGGGGTGGGGTCACTCTTTCTTTTCAAGGCATATTTCTAATCTACAAACAAACGTTGCGACGTACATTGTGACGTAGTTTGGTGTGTTGGTGACCTAACAAGGCTGTACCATCCGGTATACGGTAGCAAATAGTAAGTAGTACACCGGAAAAACGCACCGAGTAATAGCTAGCACCACGTCATATTGCCCTGAGTTGGACACGTATTTCCAACCATTTCTTGTAATGAATTACTATGAAGGACTGTTGTATTACTGTTACAGTCGGTCCCAGAATTTCGGATCATACATAATGTTTATGTTTCCGTAGCTAAGGGTTGCCCCGGCACATTGTTTTGAATGTGAGGTCACACGTTTTGGCCTCTGTGTGTTTCCTCTCGCTTATAAATATATCAGTTCCGCTCAGAAGCGGTATTTCCCCTTGAGTTTAAAAACAAGAAGTCTTCCCGGGGAACATGTTTTGAAAAACATGTTTTGTTCTCATCAAGTGAAAGTTTCCTCAACCTGTTTCTCCTTTCCGTTCCGACGTTTTGAGGCATTGAAAGCAACACGGAAACTGAAATATCACTTCTGTGATCGGTCCAGTTTTTGGGCAGGAATAAATCACCTTTGGATCAGATAATCCGCCCGGAGCCATGCCATACAATATTCTCACCTACATTCCCTGATCCTTAATGGCTCGCCCTTTTATCCTGCTCTGTTTCCGTCCATCTATCAATGGGTAATGGTACCATTACACACACTCATTCTGCCGTCGGGGGGGGGGTGGGTGGCGGTAGCTATAGTCTCCACCAAACTAACAACGTGGGTTCGAAAACAGTAACAGTGAGAAAAATTGGCCAGGGGATTTTGGAAACAAAACCCTAGCGGTGGACGCACTCCCATGGCCATTGGCCCTATTTTTGCCGAATTCTACGATCCAAACTCCCTTTATAGGAAGGCCTGGTGCAGGCTAGTCGGACGGAGCCCCTGACTTGTCCTAATTTGGCAAGAAAGAATGGACTTTTTTCGGGAGGTATTGTTAACCAAACATGGTATTAAGGTAGCGACGCCGAGATATTCAACAAGACCACAGCTAGCTAGCACCTGCCGCACACAGAACAGACCATAGGGAGGGGTCTCGCGCGCGAGGTCGCCTACAATTCACTCTCTCTCTCGAGCTCCCTCCCCAGACACAATTTGTCAGCTGCCCGGGTTAAATGCGTTCAGCCAGCGATGAAAATTGTGTCCGCAGCCCCCCCACGGTACCACACACAGGTTGTCTGGACGCGTTAATCTAGCCCCCAACCATACGCATTCCTTCTTTTCTGTGCGGAGGGAATCAATTGGGCCCATAGTTGCGTGTTACGATGCGGATTTTTCTGACCGGCTAACGCAAAGAAATGCCGCAATAGGGTAGTAAAAAAAAGGAAAAACAAAGAAAAAGAAAAAAAAAAAACGCCTGTGTTCTCTGTCCCGTGTCTGTCACGACCAGCCTTTATTTGGGCCATTCTTTTTATCAAAATCGTCCTTAAAAGTCACGTGTGGTAGCTCAGTTTGACTCCACCGGTGTGCCGTTTGATGGAGTGCTTTGCGACCCAGCTGTGCAGGCTATTCTCACCAAACAGATGATTCTAGGGGGAGTAAAATGCTATTCTTGGGGGGTAAGGGCAGGATTATCTCCAAGAAGATGTTAGGGTCAGTTTTTGACCGGCTGGGGTTTCTAACAGTTCGGCCAGAGGCCTGTCAAAAAAACTTCACAATCATCCACCTCAGCATCTGCTAGTTTGGAGATGTATAGGATGAAGATTCTATGCCCACCTGTCTCTGTACTGGGATGAAAACCCAGGGAAGATACTAGTCTCAACCAGACTATTTTGCAGGCTGAATAAATAGTAGAAATCGGCCTAAAAAGACTGTAGCTGGCCAGGGGAGTTGGACGGCCATAGATGGTTCAGTTTGACGGCAAACAGTCTTTTTAAACCGATTTCTACTATTTATTCAGCCTGGTGGAGGCTAGAAAAAATGCAAAAGCACTGAAGAACACACAAAAAAGAGAACACGCCCAGCCTCTGGACCAATAGATGGCCGCGTAGGGCATCACACGTACACTGCGGGGCGCCTCCGTGGCAAAAATCTAATCATTAATGCCCAATGAAGTGGCTCTTTGAGGATGAGTAGCACGCGCATCACTTACACCGGCCCCATCAGCGCGCCGCCAATTTCCATGACATTTGGTCGATTTCATATATACAGTTGAGATTGATCTGCGCTGGGTGGGGCTGCTACAGGGAGTCGGAACTACCCACGTATCTGCGTGGTACTGCATACTTACTATAAAGCCTCTCGCATTATACTAGACCGACCGGTGTCTGTTTGAAGAAAGTGCTAGCGTACGCCGGTTGTGAGTGTGACCATTCGAGCGACAAGCCCAGCAAGCGAAAGCCGTGTAATTGGAGAGCTAGAGAGGAGAGAGAGAGCGTTGACCGTCCCCGACTGTACTGTCATTTACCGTTTGTCTGGAAATTGATACCGGCTTTGCCCTCGAGAGCCCACCGCACGCGGCAGCGCAGTGCAGGGGGAAGGACTGGCTCGTGGCTACGCAGACGAGAGGAATTTCTGGAGCTCGCTCACTACTCGTATGCTGCATACTAAAACATCCGAGCTATAAGTCTGCGCCACCGCCGTGTGTAAGGAGGAGAAGCATGGCAGCTGAAACTGCCCCAGGTACTTTCACTTGTATATTTTCATCCTGCCATCCATCCTTCCTTTCCCATATGTGCAATAATTTACGATGTATACGTGGAGGAGCATGCATTATATTATTGGTGAATGCAGCACATGGTGAATATTTGCATGCAAGCTTTTCGGCTCTTTTTCTTTACGAGCTTCGCGGATTGTGTACATGATAATATGAAGATGCGGCATGCAAAGCGAGTAGAAGCTAGCTAGGAGCAGACACGTAAACCAGACAGCGTAAATTACATGTGCGGGGCCCGTACCGGCGTACGCCAATGTTGCGTACAGTCTGGGCTTGCCAAATCCGCGAATCCAGCTAGCGCCCGCCACAACATAACAAAACGTTCCGTAAATCTTGTGATTGTGGCGCATTCTGGCATTGCCAGGGTGTGCGCACACGGATACATTTTGTCCTTGGGAGTGGAGGGGGGAAGAAAGAGGAATTAATGAGCAACGGGGCGAACGTGAATCATTATGCACGGAGGGTACATCCTTCAACACCCCTCAAGGGTACAAGACCCTACATGGGGGTTATCTTCCCTCCAGGCGTGATGCTTGTACAAGTATTAGTCACCTACGTGGTCTCCTTATAGCGATTACTAGTAGTCTTTTAACGACTTAAGCTGTTGTCTGTGCTATGAGTGTCTGTGAGTCATGAAAATCGTGACATATTGCCAGAAATTCGCGGCATTTCAAAATGTTATTCACTTGACTCGTTTGAGCGGGGATTATTTTACACGAGGAACGTTGGGCTTCTTTCACTCCGCATTGAGGAGGAAACCAGTATTCTTCGGTTCGTTGATTTTCTCGGGAATCATATGGCCAAGGACTCCCTTTGAACTCGCCGGCGCATTTGTCTGTACCGATATTTGGCGCGAGCGTTTTCCCGCCAACCTACACTGACCTTCCCAGCGCGCGAAAAGATCGGCGCCCTCTGATTGGTCGAAAAGCCGGTCGCCGGCTCGTTTACATGCCGACCGGTGGGAGGGCCCATTTTCTAGCCGCTGATTGGTCGAACGCCACCATTTCGCCGGCTAATTTGCATAAAAATCGATCTGGTTCCGTCTGGAATGTGAAAAATGTAGCCCGCCCATCTCCAGCCTTATCACAACCAATCACAGTGTACCTCCGCTACTAATGAAAAGTAGTCCCCGATAATTTCAACGCCCGTGATTAAATTCTAGAGGGCCAAATATTCCCAAAATTTCATGATGGGATCTAGAATATTATCTGTAGAATATTCAATAAAAGTTTTGTTAAAATTCGGCATGTTTTGTGTCTTTTGACGTTGCGTCAGATTTTTGGCGCGAATGGAGCAGGCTGCACTAGGTGGAACTGGGCGGGCGGAGGGATTTCATGTTCGCCGGGCGGCAACAAAACAGCCGGTGCACCCTGCCCTAACCAGAACATAGTCAGCTTTCATTCTGATCGGTTGGTGTACAGCTGATACAACTATTTCCTCTAACTCGCGCCATTGTTGCTATCCATCTACACCTGAGTCTTGCGATTACCAGGTGTCCGAGGTGACTAAAATGCCTCCTCTGAGCAGAAAGATCGGGAGTTTTGGACAGCCCTGCCCGACGAGCAGCATGGATCTAACACCCGGCAAGCCAGGTACATACGTCCCGCCCAGACCACCGCGCCGGCCGGCGTGCGCTACTATGTGGCCTTTCTTCGGGATTCGCACCGTGGATGTGGCTAAAAACTCATCTATTTTGTGTCTTGTGTTTCAGTGAAAGAGAGAGAGTCTTTCGAGAAGGCGTACCACGTCGGAGCGATGCTGGGGAGCGGCGGTTTCGGCACCGTGTACGCCGGCACAAGGGTACGGGACGGCCTACCGGTGAGTACCAGACACCACTGTATACAAACAGTCCCCGCTCGCGGGGCGCACTTCCTCATGTCTCATTTCCTCGTGCGACTTTGCCTTCTTGGAAGGGAACTTGACGTGTTTCTGTTTCCTGTTTTTACTCTAGGTGGCCATCAAGCATATAGCGAGAGAGAAAGTCACAGAATGGGGACAGGTAAGCACGATTTTCTGTTGTGGATATGTTGGGTTCATCGTGGCCTTGTTTTGAATTCGTAACGGCAGCCCTTTCAAACATGGCAAGCTGCCAGAAGATCACGCGCCTCTTGCGCAGTAGTTTTAGCCGGGATTTTCCATCAGACCTTTCGTACTTTGTGAATTTCCAGTTGTCTCTGACGATTTTGTTGCCAAATTCGTACAATTTCGGTCGCGATGTGGGAATTTGTAACGATTTCCCTCTCAGACAAAGGGAAGTCGCCGTTTTCGCGCCGTCTTGGTGACCCTTTGTCTGCTGTAGCCACGAGGTTAATACAAACAAAGGCACAACAAAAACGTTCCTAGGCGGATTCGCCCGGCATGAGTAGGCACTTTAAGAGGTCTCCAGTAATACTTTCCCCCACTACTCGGATCCTGTTCATATCGACCTAGAGGGTAAAATTAGGGCAAAAAGGCGAGCGGGCACTTTGTGAAATGTTTCCATGTTTTGTATGTAGCGAGGGGGACCGGGTGGGAGTCTGGGCGCTGTCACATAATTGGTCTCAGTTCACTGCTCGCCACACACGGTTGACACGGAGAAAGACATTCCGAGCCTGCCTCGTCGTTATGTGCCGTGAAATGCCCACGTTTAGTTCCCAGTAAGAGAGGAAGGCTTCCCGAAAATACTATATCCCTTCCTGTATAGATTTTCAAGCGAAGCCGTACCCGTGTTTTACGTTTGTTTGCCGGGTGGGTGGGGACGTCTCGAGCCGGCCTTTTGTATTTACGCATTCATTCTTTGGGTTTATCGCCTGTCGGCTTCTCACACGAATTCCCGGTAATGTTTGCAGTGCGAGGCGAGGTCTGTACGCACGCAAGGAATTGCTCACATCCCAAAAAACACGCCCTAAGAAGATGTTACAATATTTTGTGTGCCGCCGTAGTGTGGTGGGAGAGATTTTCCCAGTACACGCCCAGACGCGCTAACGACGTTTGTACGTGAACTGCAAGATAAAGCGGCCGGCTCGTTGCGTCGGCGGCAAAATCGGTCAGATTGAAAATCCTGGCACGGGCGAGCTCAGGCGCTAGCCGATCGATTTGTGGACTAATATCCCAGCCACGATACGTCTTTATCCCCTCAGCTCATATTCCTCACCGTGTCATTAATATCCAACTCACTGGCCCGTCCAGGGGACAGATACAAGCAATTTTTTTCGAGGAAAAATATATTCCTTATCAATTGATAGTGCGGATGAACCATTTGTCACATCGGGCGGGGCTATTAGGTATTCAGTCGTAGCGTCTCCTGAGAGATTTCGTCGCTAATATTTTATGACATTTTCTTGTTCCCCCCACAGTTGAACGGAGTGCCTGTTCCCTTGGAAATCGTCTTGTTGCGGCGAGTGGTGGGCCACGATGGCATCATCAAATTGTTGGACTGGTACGAGCGCCCGGATTCCTATATCCTAATCCTGGAGCGTCCAGAGCCAGTCAAGGACTTGTTTGACTTTATCACGGAAAAGGGTGCTCTGGACGAGGACTTGAGCAGAGACTTTATGCTCCAGATCGTGTACATGGTCAGGCATTGCCACAACCAAGGCGTCGTGCACAGAGACATCAAAGACGAGAACTTGCTAGTCGAGCTGAAGACGGGGAGACTCAAGCTGATCGACTTCGGCTCTGGAGCCTTCCTGAAAGACACAGTCTACACAGATTTCGATGGTGAGTTACTGTACATTTTTCTTGCCTTTTTATTTCGTTCTGCAGTAAATAATTGAAAACATGCCACGAGGCAGAATTTGCCGTAATTAGTTCGCTCATGTGGAAGGTAGTACAATCCTCGGTGAACCGTGCTTTGTTGTGTCCTTGGGAAAAACGTGCTTGCTGGTAATTACCACAAAGGTTTCTGACGTCAATCCGTAAACTGCATTATGCCCATGTTTTCAACGTGGCCAAGAGACTACATACTTTTCACTTTGTGTGGAGTATTAGGTTAATGTTTTGACGCAGATGCCTTTGAGAACCTTTGGGATTTTTTTCTGAGTCCATGAGCCGGTAAAAATTGTACTATGGGGAGAGAGCTAGCCTCAGGTGGCACCTTTTCTACTCTATTAGGTTGTGGAGAAAGCAGTGAATGAATGAATTGTCCCCCGGGAAAACACAGAAGGCCTCCCTCTAGACTAGAGCTGCTGAAATATTAACCAGCCAGCCAGCCGCGTATCGCATGATCCAGGAATGCATGTCTGTCGTCCTGTTCCGTCTTTGCCTTATTTGAAGCCGGGTAAAGCCCGACTTCCCGGATCTGACGTTGATTCTCGGCCCCCGAACTGATAAGGGTTGGACTCCAGTCCATAAGTTGTCAGGATGTTTGAGTTTTGAGGTCCGGGAGATGAGCTTGAGTGCACCTGTGCTTGCGATAAGCCCTGCAAATTCTTTCCTCTGTCGTAGAATAATGAATGAGTCTGGTTGTAACCCAGTCTCGGAGTCGGTTAGAAGGGGTTTTTGTCTGTTTTCCCGCGCTCAGGGCAACCCAAACAAACGTCGCGTGACTATCCAGACTGTAACCCAAGCTCCAGTCGGCGAGCCCTTCATCTATTATTCCCCCCACCCTGACCTGGACGTCGGGACAAAGCCCTGAGTCAGAAAATCCGGACAAAGGGCCCCTAATAGTGTACACTTCGCAAGGCTAGGTGTGCTTTACACCTTTCTTCGGGACAGGAAAGAAAGGTGGAGTTTCCGTCCACAAGAAAGCTTCCTCCCTGGCTTCAGTCATGAATAGATCGCACTGTGCAGTGGATGACTGTCTTGTTTGATGTCCGCTTCTAATCCTGTTTAGTTGTCGACCAAAAGAGGCTGTTTATTTTACCCGATTTGCCATGGATGGCAAGAGGCTTGGGTGGGGACCAGTTTTCCCACACCTTTGGCATGTTTCTCAGCTAGGTGGGAATCCGTCCCACAGAATGACTTAATGGACTTGGCCTATTATGGAAGAAGGTTGTTGAGGGGTGGGCCTGCCACTTCAGTTGTGTCTGCAAATGAGAAAATGTGTGAAATTCTTACTATGTTAATGAGGCATCCCACGGGACTGGTGGTCCTGCCTTTCTCACGGCCATACATGGAGAGAGTTTTGTTGTGCATCTGTGTTGGAATAAAACTACCCCGGCAATCACGTGGCACCCCGTTTAACAAGAGAATGTTACTGTTCAGGGGAACAAAGACCCGCTCCTCGCCCAGACAGCCCCCCTGCCTTTGTATAACATGACCCGGCCGACCTAAACAGTCTGGCAGGACTGCATATGTTCAGGTGGGGAAGCCGCGTGCATGCCTTCTGGCACTAGGTAAAAGGGGAGCTGTCATCACAAAGAAAAATCATTCCAATCAGACCAAACTTTCAAAAACTTTAAAATTTTCACAACAGTATAGGTGAACATTGAAGTCAAATCTGCAGTCTGCAGGCTTCAAGTATCTTTTGCATATCAATAGAAGTGCTTTGCAGGGACACAAAGAAAGCAATGATGAAGACAAGTGTGGGGAGGGGGGTTTATTTGCATGATTCAAACTGTCCAACAAAAGGTCCACGTTGTCTGGCGTTCCCAGCCCATTGTGTACCCCGCACATTGAGAGAGGTGAGCACAAATGAAAACGTCCTGAATTAAGGTAGACAAAAAAAATTGAGGTTGTCTAATCAGAATGCAAATGGCTATGTGACAGACTCTATTGATCAGTCAGTCATCTGGCATCTGTGAGAAAATGAAACCAGCCGAGAACCCAAACAACTGCCGATAATTCACTCCTACAGGCCTGATTAGTCTGGAACGATTAGACTTCAATGAAAAATAATGATTTTAAAAGGAAAAACGCCATTTTGCATTAGAGCGAGAGCTCTCCCCATACAACATACACCTCCCAGTGGAGAAATTTAGGTGATTTAGATGGTATGCTGCAGTGAGGGCGGCCATTTACCTGGCCCCTGCCAAATTGACCACTGTCCTCAATCTTCCCTGTGATCCCAGACCCACACCAAATCTAAGGCAGCTGCAGCATGACAGATCAGAGCCCCTGTCTGCCTTTGAACCTCCGCTGATTGTTTTGTCTGGGTCGGGTGTTGTGTAAAGTTGCGCCAGGCTAGGCCAGCCGCAGACAGAGGTGTTATATTTGCAGAGAAGCCTGGTACCAAGCTGCCAGTGTGATGGTAGGTCTAGTGGTGGAGGGATAGAAATAGCAGTGGTCACTTTGGGGAGTTGACCATTTAGGGAGGTGTCCAGGGGTCACTGCCCCCATCCCTGGCCCAGGCCATCCATTTGCTCTGATGAGGGTAGCTATGAAACCGCAATAAATCATACTCAAAATATTAGGGAGGGGAGACTTGTCATGCAGCTAGATTTCATTACCACCAGCTTGAACAATGGCAGGAGTTAATCGGGCAGTTCCGAACAGGTGACACCTACAGGCTAACAAAAGCTCCGGGTGTGTGCCGGGTTTTTATTCCTGTTCAGCCAGGTGTTATAATAAGAACTGAAGAATGTCGACCTTTATAACTCCGGGGTGATTTGTATAGTCTAAAGGGTTGGTGGGCGGAGCCCACGGACCGACTACTGCCCGCTGTAGGGGCCACATTCCGCACATTCCCAAGGATTGTGTCTGTTAATATATTCGTGGGAAAGCGCCCATCCTAACTCAAATAGTTTATTAATCCACCCAAGTACAGTGAAAGGGACATTCGTATCTTATAAGAATGTCTTGGTTTTAACAAGAAGCTTTTCCTACTACCTTTGGTCCCACTGAAGGTCTGTGTATCTCCTGATCTTTGCCCTTGAGTTTGCATCTTGGACAAACTGCCCTGGATTCTAAATCTGGAGCTAGTTTTCTCCAGATATAATCTGGTACAAAGGGCAATCAGATAACCTGCCATCTTAACAATGCACAAATCTGTGTGCCTAGCAAACTCTCCAGTACATACAAATACAAACTGTACTCTCCATTTATATACGCATAAGCCACCGATGTGAGGACTTCTCCTTTGGAAGGCCGACGCGGTTGTTTTCCAAACCTCCAAATATTTACGTGCAAAATTCCTGCATGGAAAGGTGTTGAGTCAGCTGAGTTTTCCCTTTGGGGCCCGAAGATGTTTTGGTTATTCCACAGGGAGACCAGCAGAAATTACCCCACCAGGGATTGCATCATGCTTGTTACTTGGGCAAAACAGGGGCGTATGTAAATACCCCACCCTTGTTATTGGGAGGGCGTCCAAGGCTTTTGCCTTGGAAAAAGTGAAGGTTCTGTCCTTCTGTAATGCCTTGCACAGATACAAGTCAATCAAAGGACAACAACAAAGCATGGTTGGCACCCTTGATCCATTGATAAGCTGAATAAACAAAGTCAGCTGTTGTCGCCTTATATACCTACTAATTAGTCACTTGATTACCAAGTTAATTATGCAGTGGCAAGTGTCAAAATTGTAGTTGATGATGCTGTGTCATGGAAAACAGGGTATCAGCTATTCATGGCATTGCTTCCTTTTTGATCACAAGTACTCTATTAGCACTGAGGTGATGGAGGTAATCTTTCATTAGTGTGCATCTGTGACTTCACACACCAAACTGCCCCACTCAATCAAATCTTCCCTCTTGTCTTTGCCACAGGAACGAGAGTATACAGTCCTCCCGAGTGGATCCGGTTCCATCGCTACCACGGTCGCTCCGCAACGGTCTGGTCGCTGGGCATCCTCCTGTACGACATGGTTTGCGGCGACATTCCCTTCGAGCGCGACAGCGAAATCTGCAGAGGCGAGGTCTACTTCAGAAGACGGATATCAAAAGGTGTGTATTGTCTAGACTTGTACAAGCCAAGTTTTGCATTTCCCAATTCATTTGAACTCTTGCTTTTGTTGTGTGTATTGTGTGTGAGGCATGAGACTTACGATTTCTTTCCCTCTTGTTGTTTACCACAGAATGCGAAGATCTCATCAAGTGGATGTTGGCAATCCGTCCGTCTGACCGTCCTTCTCTCGAGCAGATCCTAGAACACCCGTGGATGCTGAAAGGCAGGGGTCTGTCGAGCGAGGATATCCGGCGAGAGTCCCTCGAAACCGCATGCCCTAGCAGCAGCCAGGAGAGCATCTAAGCGCTGTTGCCAGAGCTCGGACAATGTTCTGTGTACCAGTCTTTGTATTAATGTGTGTCGGACTTCTGCAAAAGCCAAGGAAAAAGAGAGAAAAACGTCTGCGCGTGTCAAAGCGTGTCGGATGGACTTGTGGTGCTCGTGTTGCGAAGAGACAGCCCAGTGCAATGCCAACCACACACACTCAACCAACGGTCATCGTTCTGCCTTGGACAGTTTTATGTACAAAGAAAGGACAAGAAAAAAATCAACAAAAAAACCAAGAGAGACTCCTCGCCACAGAATGCTGCTACCTCGACACCTGAATCCTCAACAGTGTTGGTCACAGAGGTCAGCCAAGAGCCAACTTCCACTCCCCAAACCTTCCCATCGTGCCATACCAAGCTCGATATCCACTCAAGACAAGGTTGTGTCGAAACCATACAAACTCTAGATCCGTACCAACTACCCATATATAGATATCCGCCTCTCACACACCCTCGACAGTCCCCTTGCGAGGGGATTCCACCGCTAACTGCCACTGTAACCAGACTCCCCAGTCTGTGCTGGGAAGCCTGCTATATTTAGAGCTCAAGAATGTAGCCCCTAAGCCTGGGTATGGTGACCTGACATATGCCTATGTATAACTTCCTATTCCCCAAGAGAGAAGCCATTTTGTGCAGTATACACTTTTGCTAAACCCAGTTTATAAGACATGTACACAAGGAAGAATACGGTAGAGTGCTGTGCACGCTAAGTTGTGGCTGGAATTTGTTAAATAGCTGTCCACTTTTTTAAGAAAGACGAGAGGATATTTCTTAACAACTGTTTGATTACTAAACGAAATGCAATTTATTTTTGGAAACAACGCTCGCGGTCAGCTAAGTACCATTTTGGTTATGTGAAACTGCCTTACTATAACTCTAGAAACTCGGTGTACAGAATCACTCATGTGTTGACCAATACTGTGACATGACACTGTATTACAAAGGTCCTGATTTTAAGTTATTGAACCAAAAGTCGATACCCCGCTCGATACTGCAAGTTGGACACCCCTGAGTTCCATCCAGTGTACCTGATCCCTCAGTATTATTGTAATTATAGAAATGAACGGAGCACTCTGCTGTAAATTTGCCGTGAAAAAGGGTGCCGAATCGAACCCCCAAATTCCTCTGCGGAGTGACCAACTTGCAGTAACCGGCGGGCTACCATTTGTGTGTACATAAGGACAAAGTATTTATTTATTGGACGACTGCAATTTCAACCGTCGTCTCGAGACTTTTTTCCTAGCGGGAGCCCTGTATATAAATTTGCTCCCCAAAGCTCATGACTAAATTATTGAAATGATGAAGAATTTAGATTCGTAGCACCATTTTGAGCAATAGTGTTGAGCCATTGTTTACGTGAATTGGAAGACGTGTCTGCAATTGCCATTTTAACTTATTGCACACATTTTATTTTATGTTGTCTCACTAGTGTAAGAACTTCCCAAAGCACAATGCAGTTGAGAATTTAGATCGTAGCGTCACGTGTAATGTTAGTAATTATTGCGTATATTGTTCATCGATGAATTGTTACGTGTCGGACATCTTTTGTGTACCAAGGAAATGGAGAAATGTTCCTGGAGTATTTTTTATATTGAACGATATGCTCTCATTTCTTGTTATTTCAAAGAAGATGAATAAAAGTCAATCGAGAATATATTTCTGGCTGGCAGTGAATGAATATACTTACCCTAGCAATAGTATTAACTGGTAATATGATAAGGGTAGGATATATTATAGTACAATATTCCCAATATAGTAATAACTTAGAACCTAGACGTCCTTCTTCATATAAAAACAGTGTATAGAAATCTAACTGCCCAATATAGTAATAACTTAGAACCTAGAAGCCCTTCTCCATATAAAAACATGTGTATAGAAAGCTAACTGCCCATATAGTAATAACTTAGAACCTAGAAGCCCTTCATATAAAAGCAGTGTATAGAAATCTAACTGCCCAACATAGTAATAACTTAGAACCTAGAAGCCCTTCTTCGTATAAAAACATAGTCATACTCATAGTGTATAGAAATCTAAGAAGTCAAAATCTCTCAAGTTCCCGGTGTTGGAGGTTTGACCCCCCTCCCCCCACCGACCCTTTATCGTTTGTTAGCAGTAGTTGGATACTACTGGTGTCCGGTATAGCAGAAAATATCGGTTTCAGCAGTACATGGTGTGACACAGTTGTAGTCTAGACTGAAGGAACGCGTTGTTACCCCAGGTGTAGCCTTTGATAGTCCGTACGTGAGAAAATGTCCACCAGTCTAGCCGCTCGCAAAAAAACAAACTACTACATGCCGAATGACGCTGTCACCAGACTTAGATTTGTCGAGGGAATAGAAAGAAGAATGAAACGTTACATTTTTTTTTAAATCAATGGTTCACAGAAACAGAGACTTGCGAGTTCAAATACTGTACATGTACTAGTATGAGCAGATGCATGCATGCACCCAGTGTCGTATCTGTTAATTCAAAGCAAGAAAGGGCCGAATGCATTGCACGCTGAACAAATGCATCTGTCTCTGGTTAAACAGTAACGCAGTGTTTCTTTGGTCTTTTGTCTAATACACAAGATATCCGGATAGTTGTTGTGGATGATATATACTGTAGCCTGTGTGTTTTTAAAATGCGACACGACGGACGAATGTTATACTAGTTGCAGTGAGTCTAGACATATCAGCGTGTACGCGACTAGTGGGAAAATGAGCCACGTTCGCGGAAAGGGGCGTTGACTTTATGCCTTAAGGTATTAAGGCTACTGGCAGAGGAGAAAGTTGCAACTTTTAATACGTATGGAACGCCGCAAATATCGGCAGACACGTGTAGAAAGCGAACTGGAGCCCGTGTGTATCTGCTTGGAGTTTGGTAATGGATTGATTTACCCCTGACGGTCGAGGTAAGGGTGACTGACCGCCCATGTATGCCCTGACCCCCCGCTGGTACGGACTGGGTCCCATTTTAGAGGTCCGGATCGACAGAACCGGGCTGACAAGTCTTCAGCGGGTTCGTTCACCCCCTTTAAAATTGGTGCGATCGGCATGCGGCGGGACATATGATATTACGCGGTAGGACGGTTTTGAAGGGGCGGGTGTGTGTGGTGGGGGGAGGGGGGGGCGTGTCCTTGGGCAATTCGATCACGGGATGACCACGAGATACCTGCGAAATCAGGGTAGATGATGATGATGAAAAAGAAGAAGAACAATATACTAGGAATACAGGACACGACGCCAACTTGCTTGAGATACAGGACAGTTCTGAAGGGGGGGGGGCGGTGTGTCCTTGGGCCATTCGATCACGAGATGCTCACGAGATACCTGCGATTTCAGGGCAGATGATGATGAACAATATACATGTACTAGTAATACAGAACACGACGCTTACTTACAAGACCTGCTTGAGATACAGGACAGTTCTCAAGGGGGGGGGCAGTGTCCTTGGGCCATTCGATCACGGGATGATCACAAGATACCTGCGATATCAGGTAATGATGATGATGATGAAGAACAACAATACATTGTATAATACAGAACACGACGCTAACTTAAGAGACCTGCTTGAGATAGAGACTTAAAATGTTGCTAGAATGTCAAATAGTCACATATATTATGTAATCTTCATCCGTCATACCATTCTACTACCTCCATGGTCATACTACTAGTATCAATGGATACTAGTGGTGTCCTACAACCATGCGATTATTTGTAGGTAAAACTTATACGCCATTCATTGATATCACGGGTTGATGAGTTAAACTTTGCGTCACGAGAGCGCAGTCGGAGGTAGTTGACTCTGAAGTTATTAGCCTAAAAGTCAGACACGTTACTTGCGGGTGACCGAACCGGTAGTCGACCTCCCGGTCGATTAAATCGGTCTGTAATTGTGCGCGAAACGATATGCAAAGAGCCTGTGTAACATCCGCCCGTATAAAACATACTAGTATGTGAATATTCCAATTTTGACTGTCTAGAACGCCATGAAATTTTATAGAGTGTTTGGTCAAGAGTTTATCGATTCTTGTGTAAATAAAACAAAGATTAAAAATGGAAAGTTCTTTCTTGCTGGCCCTGCAACGAGAGGTGCAGTGTTACGAAACTTACTCTCAAATATCTCCGACTCGATACGCAGACTGTCCTCGTCTATCATGATTTCTGAAATCCCAGAACAAGAATTTACGCCTCTTTGGAGTCCCCTTTCGCTTGGCCGTGATCCAAAAGAACCAGGCGTTCAGACCAGGGGCAGAACGCAGCAGTTGTCCGGTACCTGGAATTTGCAGACCCTCTGTCTAGTACGGCGTCTACTGGCAACCGACTCTCGTTTTGCTAACCCCTGGACCTGGCAGTGCCAGACACAAGTGCTGATGCAATGTGCAACTGTTTAATCGACGCAGCTTGAGTTGCATTTGCACACAGCTAGCGAGCAAGCGATTTCTGCAAGCAAATGCGGCTTCAGTGCTAGTGGTGGTGATTGCAAGGAAGAAATTTGCACAATTATTTTGTGAAGAAGAGACAATCAACAGTGTTTAAAATGCACATACATGACATGTTCAATAAACATGTCTGTTTTATTTCTGTAATAGCTTGAAAACCTAGGAGAAGTTGAATATATATAATGACAATAGTTTCATTTTCCATCTGTTAACTGTATTTGTTCAACATGTTTTGTTGTGACATGTACTTAGCCCGGTGTGACAAAAATGTACAATTAAGGTCGTTATACATTCAATAATGAAAATACCATCCCTCGCCCTACTCTCCAAGCAGAGGTTGATGGTGGAAGATTGTTTGCTTTTTATATATAGCCCTTTTTGTGGCTACCTTTTTTTTTGGGGGGGGGGATGGTTTCAGACTGGCCAATTTGATACTGTCTTACCCCCACCAAAAGATCTGCTTGCAGCTTGGAGATTACCCTCGCCCTCCCTCAGAAAAAAAAGAGACAAGAACATTTCCGTGCCCAGAAACACTTAGTGAATCAGGGGGGCAGACAAAGGGCACCGTTTGTATATGGAAAATGAAAAGGGGTGTCATTTTGCAGCCGCCACGTGCGGGCCCGTTGTCCGGCTAATCTAATCCCCCCGAAAAACCATCCATGAAATTGGCTGCTGAGCAGGTGCAGGGCTTGTCTTAATCGTCTAATTTCGACCCCGCGGACTGAAGGCCCTTGTTCTCCGGAAGCAGTCCGTGGTTTTCTACCCCTAGGAGAGCTCCCAAAGCGCCTTTTGTGCGCGGCGATCTTGGATAAATAGACAGTGACAGATGTAAGACGGGACCCGCCAGGGTCTACCTCCGAGCTAGCCTCCATAGCATACCAAAAACTGGGGTTTTTGGGGTCTTCGGGATCTTTTATGTGCTATTTTCTGATTGCATATAGACAATATAGCCGGCCTGGTTGAATTACCCCCGTTTTTGGCTGATCAGAAAACAGCCGAAGACCACCAAACCCTAGTCTCCACCAGACTTCTTTTGCGGGCAGAATAAATCGTAGAAATCGGCCTAAAAAGGGCAAAATGGAGCTTCTCTGACCGGCTACCTTCTCTTGCCAATTAGTAACCTTTTTAGGCCGATTTCTACAATTTATTCAGCCCGCAAAAGAAGTCTGTTGGGAACTAACCAAACCTCCAATTCTATAATATAAGCCTGCTACGGAGGCTACCTCCGAGCCTGTTCCTTCTTGCGTTGGCATGACAAAAGACAGCTGAAACGACAAGCCTTTTGAGGGTCGACGCGTGCGGCGCAAACCTCTCGGGATCTTCCCGCGCAAGTGTGCGGAGAATCCATCCATCCTCTTAGCAGCTCTAAGTATAGAAACTGCTGCAAAGTTAAATATGGGTCATCAGCTGCAGAGAGACGTACTATACATTTGTTGCGTCGCGTAACACACGCACTAGCTGATCGTGATAATGTGTGGCGACATATGGGCAGCATATGCATGTGTCAGCCGTCTGCACTTGCACCCTACACTTGCTAATATTAGTCTCAAATAATCAACTCCAGTTGAAACCAGACAGTACAAATTAAGAGTGATATGCAGACAAGTGAAGGGAGACATAAGAACACAAACTTAAAGTTTCTAAATATAATTTTCAAGTAAATCATTTCTAAGCGTTATATTGCTAATATTAGTCTCAAATCAACTCCAGTTGAAACCAGACGGTGCACCAAAATTAAGAGTGACATACAGACAAGGGAGACATAAGAACACAGACATGAAGTTTCTAAATATAATCTTAAAGTAAATCATTTCTAAGCGTTACGCCAAAGTGACGTTGGTGCTTTTTTTCGTATCACACTTGGCAACGTTGGCATCTAGGCACAGACCGTTTAAAATAGTGCCAGTGTGTTCTGTACCCCTATCCTCGGTTCGCAGTGTCAACAGCAGGGCATGAGAACTCAGTCTACCCGTCAGTGCCTCGGATATGCAGGTACTTTCAGACCCGGTTTAGCTAAGAGCGCGTGGCTCGGTCCATTAACACGGGCCGTCCGTCAAACTACAACAGGCAGAGGATCACTCTACCGACCTACTGTACGCCTCTCGGCTTTCACGACAGCTGTAGCTAGGGCCAAGGAGAGGGGAGGACGATTTGTCAAGATCTATTACTTGATAGTTCGGAAGCCACCTGGCCATTAATTTAGAGAGAAGAGAAAAAAGACCTTTATTGTACA